CTCAGGGACAATCCTCTCTCTCTTTCTCCCCCTGCTGGCTGGATATTGAAGTTCAGGGATTCTTGGTACTGATGCCTCCACCAGCCTGGCTCCCAGTTTGACTGTAGGAGCCAATCAAATCCAAACAGCAATCCTCACCTCTACCCCTTGCTGTCAGAATCATCTTTTGGAGGCTTACATGGGTGAGAAATAAATGAGAATTGAACTTCATATGAGTGAAAAATAAACTTTCATTTCATTAAGTCAATGATATGTCAAAGTTAATCTATGCTAGCAGCCAGGCTTACATAAAATAATATGGCCATGCCCTTGAGGACTCCTTTCCACTGTTTCTGATTTGCCATCCTCCAAATCTCTCTCCTCTTAATTATGATGAATACTGTAGATCTGAAGCAGCCGTTTCCATGTTTGCACACTCATAACCAATGTAGTACTCAGCAAAGAACATTTAGTGATAACCATCTCCCTTAAAAGGGGAAGTAGGTTAAATAATTATTTTATGTGATATACCATCCTTTTATTCAATAAGTAACCACACAAAGTACCTACTATGTGCTCTGTTCTTCTGTAGGCACTAGAGGTAGAGCAATGAAAGTAAAATACTACCCTCAATAGCTTTCATTGGGGGGTGGGGCCTTGCTCTGTTACTCAGACTGGAGTACAGTGACACGACCATGGATCACTGCAGCCTCGATCTCCTGGGGTCAAGCAATCCTCCTGCCTCAGCCTCCCAAGTAGTTGGGACTATGGGTGCACGTTACCATGCCCGACTAATGTTTTAGTTTTTATACAGACAAGATCTCATTCTGTTGCCCAGGTTGGGTGGGTTTAAGGTGTCCTCAAACAATCCTCCCCTTGGCCTCCCAAAGTGCTAGGATTATAGCTCTGAGCCACTGTGCCCAGCCCTGCCCTCAGTAGCTCTTGACATAGTGCTAAACTAGATAACTATTACTAAAACACAGTTTAGAAGTTACAAGATTTTATGGACGCCAAAGGAAGGCTATCATAATTCAACTTGGATCTGAATCAGGGAAATCTTCCCAAGAAGGACCTGAATTAAATCTCAAAAAGCAAGTAGGAATCAGATGAGAGGAGGAGGAAGGGTGTTGTGGTATGAGAATTGTGAGTAAGAAGGCAGTGAGATAGGCTGCACCCTGGAATCTGCATTTTGGGTCAGGCCAGAGTGAAGAGTATACATATGGGGTATGAGTGTGGCAGGAGATGAAACTGGAGGTTGGACATCATGAAGGACATCAGGCTAAAGTTTTTTGTCTGTTTGTTTGTTTGTTTTCTTTCCAGACAGAGTTTTGCTCTTGTTGCCCAAGCTGGAGTGCAATAGTGTGATCTGAGCTCCCCACAACCTCTGCCTCCTGGGTTCAGGCAATTCTCCTGCCCTCAGCCTCCCAAGTAGCTGGATTACAGGCACACGCCACCGTGCTCAGCTAATTTTTTGTAATTTTTAGTAGAGATGGGGTTTCACCATGTTGACCAGGATGGTCTCGATCTGTTGACCTCGTGATCCACCCGCCTCGGCCTCCCAAAGTGCTGGGATTACAGGCATGAGCCACCGCGCCCGGCCCAGCCCTTTACTGTTCTTAACAGCTTTTATTCACATGACTTGATTTGATCTTCCCTACTGTCCTCTGTGACTTGTAGAGTGAATTCTATGATCTCATCAAACAGGTAAAGGGCCTAAGGTCTAGAGTGTTGAGATAATTTGCCTCTCCTCATTTCTAAGTGGTTGATCCAGGACCAGAACTGCAATGAACAAATATTTTCTTGGCCTTGATCTCCTTGAGACCAAACATCACATCTTTTTATTGTTGTCGCCTTCCCAGTGCTTTATGTAGGCACTTAACCTATAACTTGAAATAGTGATTAAGAATATGGGCTTTGAACTCAAAGGAGACCTGGATTCAGCATCTGTTTTTTGTTTGTTTGTTTTGAGTTTGTGGGCATATTTTTTTTAACTTTCATTTCAGGCTCAAGGGTACATGTGCAGTTTATTATATAGAAAAAATTCATGTCGGAGGGGTTTGAAGTACAGATTATTTCATCTCCCGCGTTTTATGTCTGTTGTTCACTTCTTTGTGTCTGTATATACTCGATGTTTAGCTCTTACTCGTAAGTGAGAACACAGCATCTAGTTCTTGATATTCTTGGGCAAGTCATTTAAACTATCAGAGAAGCAGGGTTTTAATTTATAAATTCACTGTTGGCTGGGTGTGGTGACTCATGCCTCCCAAATCCCAGCACTTTGGGAGGCCAAGGTGGGTGGATCACTTGAGGTCAGGAGTTCAAGACCAGCCTGGCCATCATAGTAAAACCCCATCTTTAAAATAATAATAATAATAAATAAATAAATATATATAATAATAATAAATTCACTATTAATGCTTTCTCACATGGTTGTTGTGAGAATCAAATGAGATGATGTAAATGAGGCACTTAGCACAGTGCCTGGCATGTAGAATTGCTGAAATATGCTAAGGATTACTAGCTTGATCACGGTTTCTTGTCAGTTATTTTTTTATTATGCAGAAATTTAAATGTACTTAAGACTAGGCCAAACAGCACAGTGAACCACTACATGACTAAACACAAAGCTTCAAAAATTATCAGCTCATGGCCAATCTTGTTTCATCTCCATCCCCATCTTTTTTCATTCTTTCTATTATTACTGTTATTTATTATTATTATTATTTTGCAGACAGGATCTTGCTCTGTCGCCCAGGATGGAGTGCAGCTGTACAATCATAGTCCACTGCAGCCTCAAACTCCTGGAATTAAGCAATCCTCCTGTCTCAGCCTCCCAGGTAGCTGGGACTGCAGGTGTGCATCACTGTGCCCAGCTAAGCTTTCTTATAATATTTTGTTGAGACAGGATCTTGCTCCATTGCCCAGGCTGGAGTGCAGTCATGCGATCTCAGCTCACTGCAACCTCCACTTTCTGGGTTCAAGTGATTCTCCTGCTTCAGCCTCCAGAGTAGCTGGGATTACAGGCATGCATCACCAAGCCCAGCTAATTTTTGTAGTTTTAGTAGAGATGAGGTTTCACCATGTTGGCCAGGCTGGTCTAAAACTCCTGACCTCAAATGATCTGCCAGCCTTGGCCTCCTAAAGTGCTGGGATTGCAGGGGTGAGTTACCACGCCCGGCATGCACAAGCAGTCTTACAAAATGTGGGGAAGAATGATGTGGTGGACACAGCTAAAGGTGACCCTCAATGAGTTACCTCTTCCCTTTATCATGGGCAGAAACTGTGAATCACTTCTAATCAACAGAGAATGGTGACAATGATGGAATGTCACACCCTTGGTTAGGCTATGTTATATGAAAAAGACCATCTCTCTTTTCTAAGGCTTAAGAAGCATTTTTACGGGGGATTTCTAAGTTAGCTGAAAAGTCAAGAAAAGACAACGTTTGCTCCGAGGAATATCACTGTGCCGTAATACTCTTCTGGCATTCCCTGACTTTTCCATGGAGAAGGTTCTAGTATTTTTGCCATCTGCTGGATTTGACTGGTGGACCTGAACAAGAAGGTGCCAGGAAAGAGTTGTTAACTCTATCTAATTTCATTTAAAGATCTAGTAAAAAAAATTCCTCCTGCATAGATTAGAGTGAGGATTTGAGTCACAGCAGGGAGACTTTCAACTGAGACTGCTAGACAGAACTCCCAAGTACTAAGTCAGGTGACGCTGACTTGCACTCTCACCAATAGTAGTAATTAAGAGCTGGACTTCCAAGTATAGAAAAGGAAGGAGTCCTGAAGGACCTGATTTTTCAAGGTGTAATTACCCCAGAGAAAAACTAAAAATCTTCTTGGGATACCAGGGGAACTGAGGCACATACGTGTGTGACATAGGCATACATACACATACTGTCAAACATATACCGTCACAGAAGCTTCACTAAGTAACCCAGGACTTTGCAGTCAGAAAATCTTTAATTTTTAGAATACATGTAATGAGGCTGGGTGCAGTGGCTCACTCCTGTAATCCCAGTACTTTGGGAGGCTGAGGCAGGCAGATCACTTGAGGTCAGGATTTCGAGACCAGCCTGGTCAACATGGCGAAACCTCATCTCTACTAAAAATACAAAAATTAGCTGGGTGTGGTAAAATGCACCTGTAATCCAGCTATTCAGGAGGCTGAGGCAGGAGAACTGCTTGAACCTGGGAGGCAGAGGTTGCAGTGAGCCGAGATCATGTCACTGCACTCCATCCTGGGCAACAGAGAGACTTCATCTCAAAAAAAAAAAAAAAAAAAAAGAATACATGTAATGTTTACATTTTATCCTTTACAAGAGAGAATAAGGAGCAAACTTCAGAATTTTTCTTTGCTTGGGTCCCTAAAAGTCTGGAGGGACACTGTTGAGGCCACACACCTATTAACACTTGGAGAGGCTCTTGTTCATGGCTCTCCAAGACCCCTCCAACCTTTGATGATGGCAAAAGTACAGTTTTCCTCAGGCATCTGTTATCCATCTCTTTTTGGCTCCCTCCAGTCCCTAGAGATACACAGACTTGGGAATACTTTGAGCTGCCGGAATTTTCTAGAATACCCAGGTTACTTCCATCATTTGAGAGAGGAGGAAACCCAACCCCAGAGGAGTGGAGCAATGTAGTTAAGGTCACAGAGCCAGTCAGATGCAGAGATAGGACCAGCAGCTGCAGGCTTGTCCTCTCCCCACCCATCTCCTGTTGCTATCCCATGTATGCTGGAGGCAAGAGGTGGGTGGACATTCAAGAAATGCAAACTCACACTAATGTTTGAATATTAAAGTTTAATATTTTAATTTTAGCCTGAAACAAAACAGTATTAAAAAGGTACATCTGCTGAAACAAATTAAATAATGCATTTCTGGCCTCAGTACACACGACTGACTCATTTGGCCCTGTGATTTTCTTCCTGGTAGCAGAGCTGGCCTGCACAGGGTGGGCAGAGAGGCAGCAGGGCTTCCTGGGACCTCCCTTCTTTTTTAAAAAAATTTTTTAACTTAAAAAATATGGAATTCTTCATGAATTTGTGTGTCATCCTTGCACGGGGGCCATATGAATCTTCTCTGTATAATTCTAATTTTAGCATATGTGCTGCCAGAGCGAGCACCTGGGGCCTCTCTTCTACTGGGCATTTCTTCTTTCTCACAATTTCAGTCCTTGAAGCCCTCTGCTTCCACACAGTGGACCCCAGTTGTCTTGTGTACTTAAGGGCACCTTTCTGTCCTCACAACTGACGTTTCATGTGATCACCAGGTAACGTGCTTTATTGGTTTGTTAGAGATACCATAACAACGGACTATTAACTGAGTGGCTTAAACAACAGAAATTAATTTTCTCATGGTTCCGGAGGCTGGAGGTCCAAAGTCAAGGCAGGTGCAGCACTGGCTCCTTTGAGGGCTGTGAAGCGTGAGACAAAGGAGCAAATGCAAGAAGTCGTGTTTGCTCACTTCTGCTTGGTAGCATAATTGCACAAAGCCCCTGATGCTGAGACAAAGTGCAGCTCTCTGGGAGGATGCTTTGAAGACAAAACAGGATAGAGCACAGGGCCCCCTGTGTCTCTTGCCTGGGTCACTAAATTCCTTGAAAGATAAATGACCCTAGCCCTTGACTTTTCCTACTCTCTATAAAACAACATCTGATGGAATTAGTGATTATGCCTCTGTAGTCTATAACCAGATATACTGTGATACCCAAACCTTGACGTAACTTTACTTTAATGTAGCTTCTCGGCAAATCTGATGTGATTTTGCACAGACTAAGCCTCCACCATCTGTATATAAGCAACAGCTTAAATACTGTGTTGGTGTAGTCTGATAGAACCTCTCTACAGGGCTGCTCCTGGGCTATTGGCCTCAGTCTGTCCTCAGTAAGGCTTCTGAATGAGACTACCTTTAATTCTTTAAAAGCTTTGTTCTTTAGTCAACAGAAGAAGAAATCTTTCCTGGGCTCCTCTCACTGGTCTGCAATGGCTATCCCCTCCTCGTGTCTCCACATCATCTTCCCTCTGGATGTATCTTTGTCCAAATTTCATCGACTTACAAGGACACTAGTCCTTTAAGTATATATATTTAGTAAGTATCTATATTTACCAGTCCTTGTAAGTATACATATTAGATTAGGGCCCACTCATTAACCTCATTTTTGCTTGATTATTCTGTGAAGACCCTATCTCCACATAAGGTTATATTAAGGTTACATTTTGAGATACTAGGTGGGGTACAGTTAGGGCTTCAATATGTGAATTTGGTTGCAGGTGTTGGGGAATACAATTCAACCACCAACCCCCAGCCAAACTGGTAGCCTGTTTGCAGTGGGTAGGAGGAGAAGATAGGACTGGTTCTCACCGCTCTCAGCCCACCATTGCCCACCTGCATGAGCCAGGGCATATCCTGCATCTTTGTGAGCCTCCATGCCTGTGCTTTAAAATGAGCAGAAGTCACTCCTGCTTCTAGAGCTGCGATGACAAATACACAGGATAACCTTTGGAGATAGCTCTGGGATGACATCTGACACATCAAAGACTCTCAATCATTGTTCTCGTTCCTACTTTGGTCCATAATGAGAGACTATTCACAGATAAGAACTCTTTATATTCTCTAGAAGAGAAACCAGAACAAAACACAGGCACACATCTGCCCTTAGAAACTTCTGTTCAAATGAAACTTCATAAGTAAAAACAAACAAAACCAAGAGAAAAATAAAGAAAGTAGAGTGGTGACTCAAGTTTGGGGCCACCCAGGCCTCCCTCTGGATATTTACAGGCCCAAAGAACACTTGACCATAATTTCTTTCATTGCTTCTCTAACTAGGCAGAGTGGCTGCTTGGATGTTTTGTTAAAAATAATAAAAACAGCAACATTGTGTTGTTATTCTTACAAAAGGAATATGTTTTCTATAGTATAAAATGAATAAAAGGTCATATTCATATCACATATTTGGGAATATCATGTCATATTTTTCAATAAATCCTGTTGCCATTTTTATTGTAAAAAGTTAAATCATATAATAATTGCTATTTTTAGCAATTATTGCTAAATCATATTGCTAATATGATAACATCTTCATATTAACCATGTTGACAATGTACCCTGAACATCTTCTTATGTTAATGCATATTCTTCTCTATATTATTTTTAATGGCTACATAGGTTTTTGTCGTATGAATAATGAATCATTATTTACTTAGCTGTTCATTATTGATGAACATTTACGTTATATTCTGCTTTTGAATGATTGTATTTTTGTTAAAAATCAATGCATTGATGAGCTTTCTTAATTTTTCCACGTCTCCCTGTTCTTTCCACTGGAGGATCACTAAACTTTAGATGTATAGAGCCAAATGGGGTAGCTGGGGTGGTGGAAAAGGGAAAGAGACAACTTACCCACAGAGCTCCATTTACAATAGTAAAGGGAGCTACGCAAGGGTTTATAGATCTATCGGGAGAGACTTATTATACCTATACCTCAAATGAATCGGTTACCACACTGTTTCTGAAAAACAACAACTGCTAGAGGACATTCCAAAATGATGGGGAGAAAAAAATTAATCATCAGAGTTCAGAATAAGGTGCAAATGAGTGATAGAGGACTCTGGAGAGGGTGCCTGATTGGAGGGAAAATGCCCAAGGAAGGAAGCAGGCACACAGGCAAGACTGAAAAGGGAGGAGCAGACTTCCTCTGTGGTTTCACATCAAGGATATATTAGTCTGTTTTCACACTGTTATAAAGACCCACCCAAGACTGGGTAATTTATAAAGAAAAGTGGTTTAATTGACGGACAGTTTCCATTGGATGGGGAGGCCTCAGGAAACTTACAATCATGGCAGAAAGGGAACAGGCATAATTCACATGGCAGCAGGTAAGAAAGACTGGTGAGTGAAGTGGGAAGAGCCCCTTATAAGTCCATCAGATTTCAGGAGAACCCACTTATCATGAGAATAGCATGGGGGAAACCACTCCCATGATCCAGTCCAGCTCTCTTCCTTGACACGTGGGGATTACAATTCAAGATGAGATTTGGGTGTGGACATGAAGCCAAACCATATCAAGGGGGCTGCTACCCAGAAAGTGTTGCATGAGACCCAAAATTGCCTTCAGTAAGGAACCAGTTCACAACAGTTTGTGCTTTTGTCTTTGCTGGCCTTTGAGGCAAAGGGCTGGGAGGCGCTCGGCCAGGATTTTGATCCTGGAGCTTCAGCTGATTTTGTTGGACAAACTTAAGCCAGTCAATTATTGTTTCTGGTCTGAGCCTTCTAAATCTTTAAAATAAAGATAGTGGGTTAAAAAATAAATAAGGTCCTTTTCAGATTCTTTACTTAAAAAAAAAAAAAGTCCAGTCCTCCTGAGATTTCACAGAGAAAAAAGGAACAATTTCATGAATCAGGAGTTCATAGAGGGTAGGAGAGGAAACACGCAGGATCCTCTTCACAAAGTTTATTAAGCATCCTCTCCCACATCATTATCATCCTATCGCTCATGCTCTCCCTTCTGGGTCCTGTCAAATTGCTATTCAGACCAACTGACTAATTGTGTCTGAAAAGGGAACGGAAAACCTCCATGTCATCGGATACACTTTTCCTTTGATGGATAAGGCGGAAGTTCCAACGAGAGTGTTAGGCAGGAAAATCCGGCTCCTTCAAACTAATTGCTGCATATCTGATTTATTTCCCTCCTTAATGCTGTTTATTTTGTTTTTATTCAAAATATAAAATTGCTCCCTGAGTTGGGAGATTAACGTCTTTCTTCTTGTTCAGCAACAGATCATTTGTGGGCCCTGGTTATAAATAGGAGGTTGGAATCCATGACTCATTGTTTTTTCCTTTTTTGTACAGGATATCCCCTGAGATTAACTGTGGTTACTTTTTTTTTTTTTTTTTTTTTAAGTTAGAGACATCAACCTCTAATTATTTGCTGGTTGTTACATTACAGGTTTTTGTTTTTAGAAAATGTAAAGGTTTTCTTCTGAGCTTTCTTCCTGGAAGATTTTTGTGGTTCAATAAACTAGAATTTTACACATCACTGGGCAATGACTTGACTGCTTACATTTTTGATGGATTCTTCTGTTCATTCGTTTAATAAATATGCATTTATTTTATGCTTACTCTGTAAAAGTGACGTGAACATTCAGTCTCTTGAATGAGTAGGGCTCTGAGTCTAAGGGTGGGAGGAACACAGAGACAGGGAATTATTACCCAGGTCGATCTGTTGTGTGCTTGGAGTTTATTCATTTGTATTATTTATTTATTCACTGATTCATCCAATGTCCATGGCAGTCACATATCCTGCTGGGGTTTAACACAACTATGGTACATCTGGCATCCATTCCTTCATTTATTAACAAAAACAACAACCAAGCACAATCTCCTGCTAGGTGTCACTCTCCAGCTAGACTATAGACTATAGATGAAGAGAGGAAGATAATTATGAAGGGCTTTGCATGACATGCATAAGAAAACTTGACTTAATTTGGTACCTTGGTTTTTTTCTTTTTTCTTAAAGTTGCTTCCTAGCTGTTTACCTTGGGACAAGTTACTTAACCTCTCTGTACCTTGGTCTCCTTGTGCACTAAATGGTGTATCTGTCAGTGCTCAGTTAAGAAAGTAGATTGCACTACAGGCATTTCCAGCAGAGAGGGATGTAATACAGGTAGTTAGTTACAGTCTTTGGAAGAGGTAGAAGAGTAAAAGGGAGAAAGGAGAAACTCTGAGGCCAGGGAGCTCTTACCAGCCTTTGGCAGAAACCCAGCCTGCATGTGCTTATGATTTTCTTGAGGTGCAATTGCTGCTACTGCTTAAGGTCCCTGCAGCTGTGCAGGGGGCCAGAAGGTGCACTTCTGCTGATATGTCACCACTGGGGGTGAAAGCAGAGGTGAAGCAAAACCAAAACAGTGCAAAAACAAACTTCTTCTTCCCTCCAGCATTTGAGTCCCAGCCTAAGGCTTTTCACTGGCAGAGCCCAACCAGAAGGCAGCTGATCATAGCCTGTGAAATGTAGCTTGCAGGCTTCCAAACCACATGCATTATAAAGATGAACATAGGAAGTCAGGAATGAAACTGACAGCTAACAGACAAATAACCAGCATACTTGGGGACAATGATGACACCTTCC